GGAGCTGCACGGCGACCGCGCGGGCCTGGACGACCCCGCCATCGTGTGCGGCATCGGGAGCATGGACGGCGTGAGCTTCATGTTCATCGGCCAGCAGAAGGGCCGCAACACCAAGGTGCGGGGAGGGAAGGCGACGCAGCGGCGTGCTGGGGCGTTTGCGTGGGGAGGGACTGAGTCGTCTGGCCACGGGATGGTGGCTGGCATTGGCGTGCCTGTAGCGAGCAGGTGAAGTACTTTCTACAAGCCTCAAGTGGCCAATGTTGGTGTTTACCCGGTGAATAAGCAGCTGCTGTTCTGCCAGTCTGCTGCTGCGACGTCTATGTCGCCACAAGACCAGCGGCGCGGCTGCTGAGAGCCCCTGCTCGGCACCTCACCTGCCCTTGCGACCCGCAGGAGAACGTGCGCCGCAACTTCGGCATGCCCCAGCCCAACGGCTACCGCAAGGCGCTGCGTTTCATGCGCCACGCCGACAAGTTTGGGCTGCCCATCGTCACCTTTGTGGACACGCCGGGGGCCTACGCCGGCAGGGCGGCAGAGGAGCTGGGCCAGGTGCGCTCCCTGCTCCCTTTTGCGGTCCCTCTGTCGAAGTCGGGCAGCTGCCGCCTCGTTTGACAGCTGTGAATAGAGGCTCATGGGGCTCGTTGCCGGTCCAGCTAGCAGCCGACTGTGTTTGAAGCCCTGGGCAGCGGCTCTGAAAGCTCGGCGGCTGACGCGGCTGCGGGGCAGTGGCCGTCAGGCGGAGATGGCACTCACTCCGCCGCCCAATCATGCGCCCGCCGCCCCGCCCTCTGCCGCCACCGTGCCCCCGGCGTACCCCCCAGGGCGAGGCCATCGCCTACAACCTGCGGGAGATGTTCGGCCTGCGCGTGCCGATCATCAGCGTCGTCATCGGCGAGGGCGGCAGCGGCGGCGCGCTGGCCATCGGCTGCGCCAACCGCAACCTGATCCTTGAGAACTCGGTGTACTACGTGGCGTCCCCCGAGGCGTGCGCCGCCATCCTGTGGAAGAGCCGCAACGCCACCGGGACGGTGCGCCGCGGCCGCCGCCGCTCCGCGCTCGCGTTCGCTAGGGGGCCTCGAGCGTGGGCACGAGAGCGGGGCGCGAAGGGAGGCCGGCCCGCGTCGTTCGCGTAGAGGTGCACGACGCCAGCTGGCGGCGCACCCCGCTCGCGCGCTCGCCTGCATCCTGCTGTTGATATTTGCGCCGCCCACCCGCCGACGCTCCTTCGGCCCCTCCCATTTGTCCCCCCACCGACTCCCCACCCCACCCCTACCCCTGCAGGCCACGGAGGCGCTGCGCATCACCGCGCCCGAGCTGGTCAAGCTGGGCGTGATGGACACCATCGTGCCTGAGCCGCTGGGCGGCGCCCACGCC